TTGTGTGGATCACCGATAACTTGAGTTTACAGGAACCGGAGGCATTGGTGGTAAAGAGGACGGTGATGCACTCCTTCTGCAACTTCCGGCCCCGACACTTGCTGGCAGACTTGACAACGAAGGTCTTGGAAGGTAGCTTTTTCCAAAAGAGACCGGATTCGTCCATGTTGAACACCTGGTCGTCGGTGTACTGTCCTTCCTCCATAATCTCACGTATGAACGGAGGAAAATCCCTAGCACCAACACGGTCAACACTCACTTCTTCACCACCAATGTTAATGTTGGTGATCTTGTTCCTCTTCTTAAACCTGTGCAACCACCCAGAGGAAGCATTTCCCATCTTACGTGACACTGCTGCGTACAGTTCACATGCGTACTCCTGATCTGAGCGCGTGTCGACCGCCATGTTCCGTCTTGCCTGACGAATCAAGTAGCTCACAAGTAACTTCTCCGTCTTGAGAATCACCTTGTTGTGGCAATACTTGATCATTGAAGCACCTGTAGACATTGTGATGTTCATGTGTTCTTTTATCTTGGCTGCATCCTTCTTGATCGTCCGGATCGTAGATTCGTTCACACCATGCTGGCGCGCCAAATCAACCTGTCGTTCCTTTCTCCAACTCTTGGATGATCTTGAACTTCACCTCGTAGCTTAGGGCACGTCGTATCTTCTTTGGCCTAGGGCGGCTGAGTCCAGGTAATGCAAGGTTTTTCTGTGGTGGTGGTGGTCCGGTGGCAGCCATTCTTATGGAACAATGGATATCGATATACACGGTGCAGCCGGGAGGGGTGTAACTGACGCGGGGAGGTCAACGGGCTTCATTGCTCCCGCGGCAGGGCACGTCATATTTCATTAAACCAATCACAGTTAGCGGGGAGGGTGGTAAGGATGCTTGGCCCCAATCACACTCCGATACGTCATATGACGTCACCGATAACGCAACAAAGACATACACTGCGCAACCTACTCGCGCCGCTTACCCGGGATGGCGGGAGGTTTGAATGCAAAAATGGCGCAGCGCGAGATGACCGCCAGCCGCTCTCCGCGTATATGAGTAGATGCACTGCGTAAAGTGAACATTCCGGTTCTGGCGGGGTACCGCGTGAATGTAGAAACGCGTAAAAAAAAACGCGTAAAGCGGGGTATTGCTGTACACAAAATTTTCCACTTGTTTAAGTTCTTTTGCCTACCACAATTTTTATTTAAGGATTTATTTCCAATTTGGAAACAGTCATTACCTTGTACTTTTGCCTTTACAGCTTTAACTGTTAACCCATATTCTTCACCCTTTTCTGCTGATTTGTTAACCAGTTTTTGTAATGCTTCTTCATCTATGTAACATATACAGTATTTGATATTACTTTGCCATTAACATCACTGTACAAGAGTCTAAATAGGATGCTTATTACCTTATCCTCACTATTCATAAATATTTTGATGCCATCCACTCCTGGAGCTTTCCCTTATTTAGTTATTATGCTTACTGTATTAAAGTGATATTTTTAATAAACTTTATGCAGGCTCAAGATTTTTTTTTTACCTTCCGGTATTCAAGCACAGAACTTGGGCATAATTTTTTTTTCTCATTAACTTAGGGATTTGCCAATGACCATGATAGGATTTATTCTTTTTTTACAATTTCCTCTTCAGTCTGATGTACGGGAGACATGCTTTTGCATAGTATAGTAGCTAAAGTGATTTCATGCACTGTATAATTTTGTAAGGAAAAGGGAATGTGGTGGTATTAAATGAAGGAACTAAACCGCAACAAATGGAGGAGTGTGAGGAATGTGGCTTTGGTTTAGAATTTCGTATGATACTCTTTATGCTGTTCTTTGCAAATGGTGGAAAACAGGATTGTATATACTGTACAGGGTATAGTAATTTGGAGTAAAATAAATCCCAGGATGAACTGTTGTTTATAGGGTGTCAATATATTGTACAAGGAAACTTTAGTTGGAATAAACAGATGCGAGTGAATGGTCTGGCGTTGATGGTTGGAGTGAGAAAGACTTATGATTCAGTGGCTCTTCAAAATTTTCACTTGGTTGGTATTGTAATTAAAGAGCAGAATAGAATTAGAAAAAGCTTTGTAAGGATTGAGTGATGGTGACACTGTTTGGGTGGATGAGACAGCCGATGACCTAGCAGACATTAAAGGAATTTAGTGGTGCGTAAAAGAAAAAAAGTTGAAAGTAATTACTGTGGAAAATAAAGTGGTGATTTTTAAAAGGGAGGAGTCAGTGTGTGATATGGTTGGAAGGAGAGAAGTTGGAAAGGGTCCAGTGTTTCAAGTATCTGGGAAGTATTTTTAGCAAGGACGGGGGATTGAATGCTATGATATCAGAGAGAGAGAGAGAGAGCTCGTAAAGGCAGACAGTCGGCACGTGGTGTAAAGAGAAGATTAGGGATGGGAGGTCTAGTTCAGTCTACCTTGATAGATATATTTATTTATTTATTTTTTATTGGTTGTTGAATAAGTGGTGTGAATGAAGTAATAGATAATGAGGAGTTTTGGAAGACAGACATGGTTGAAAATGAGCTAATTGAGTGCTAAAGTGTTATGAATCAATTGGAGGGAAATTGAAAAAAAATTGACTGCAGTACTGTATGTATTTAATATATCATTGACTTAGTTGGATGTGACTTTTTGGTGTTACAGAGTAAGTAGCGAGTGTTTCGTGTGTAGTATTTACTGTGCTGTAGCATCCAAGCATTAACCTCTTTAACCAAGTTGATATTTTTTAATTATGCTGTATGTAAATGTATCAATAAATAGCTGCTTCACTGCAATAAACCAATGTGATTACTATGGAGTGCAGTATCAGTGACAGGCTTTAAGAGATAATGGAGTTATTAAAAGTGACTCCTAATTGCAGGTATGGATGTGTACAGTCTTCCTAGGAAATACCTGACCTGTAGCTTCACTGGTAGAACTCGTTGACACCTGACTGCTCTTGTTTGGTGTGCCTGTTTACATCTCACTTAACCTATTGTTTGATTCTTTCTCTCACTTATTTCATTCTCTCACCTTTCCCATTCTCTCTACTTCACTCACTGTACATGCTCTCCATCTCAACTTTTGTGTAGATACAGTATTTGATAAACATTATCTTCAGTATACAATCCCCTTAAGTCCAGTACTACTGTAGTTCTCTTACTTAACTTGTATATTACAGTATTGCTTCACTGTCCTTTAATTATAGTATCACTTCACTGCTCCTTAATTATAGTTCAGTATCTCTTCACTGCCCCTTAAATTATAGTATCGCTTCACTGCCCCTTATCATACATTTGTACAGTATTGTATACTAAAACCAGTCTTTCTGAAGTAAGGAATTTGTTGATCCTCGATTTTTATGTATTTTTCATATATTTCTGTAGCACTGTATTACTTACTGTACATACCCTTTGTGTGTATGAATATTCATCTCTAGACTGTTAAAGCGATCTCAAGCAATGGCGTTATGCCAAGGGAAAAGATAGTTAATGATGAGAGCATTGTACACTGTGTGTTATGTCTGCCGGTGTTTAGACATTGTTATCTTGGGTGTCAGATGGTGAGGTGTATCCTGTGTTATGGCTACATGATGGTGTCCAAACTGATCAATAGGGTTTAAAGCTCAGGCACAGAGGTAATGTTCTTGATATGGTTGCCCCACACCTCACAGAATTAATACTGTATACTTAATCACAGGGCTCTTGCCGTGGACCCACATTATGTACTTGGTTGTGTGCAAAACATTTTATACTTTTACATGCATTCACTTTTTGTTTACAGTATACTGTTTATTGCACTGTCTATCATCTTACATCACACTTGAATCACACAATATCAGTTACATAAATTTTTCAATTGGACTTTTGTTTCCTAATGCCTGTAGTCTTTGGTCTACCAACTACTGGTACTTGACATTTATTAATATAATTAATTTTAATGTACAGAAAGTTGACTTCTGATACACAAGAAGCAAATCTGGAAAGACGATAAGACTGGATGTGGCTGTTTACTGTTCACTGTGCTAGAAATGTTTTATTTTATTATCAGATAAGTTTCAAATTTGAGTTATTGTGAGGATCTTATTGTTACTATCTTTGAGATAACTTTTATTCAAGGTTTATGATACCCTCTAGTTTACTGTACTGGCAAGGTGTAGTGATAAGATGCTGATGTGGCCGGCTATTACTGGTGCCACCCTCCCTCCCTCCCTCCATACCTTGGGCTGTCCTTAAGTTTATCAAATATCTATACAATACACTGTTGTTGATCTGATGTGGATATTTTGTGATTTATGTCTATGAATTGTTGTTGTTTTGAAACCTCTCAGTAGTTAGATGGTATTTTCTGGGCGTTTTAGTGGGTAATTTATGGGTGATTTGCCTGTGTATGACTTTGTCTGTAACTTGTTCATCTACTGTGATCAGTACAGTACTGAGAAAGAAGAATAGTGATGTCTAGAATTTTGTCCTTGTGTCATTGGTTTCCTTTGATGCAATGTACATATTCCAGTTTGTCATAATTAGAGTGTTTAGATTGCCATGAACTTTCTTCTTAGGCCTTAGAGTAAGCCAGGTATCTTTCCTTTACTGTCAGCTTCCTTGACTATTTAATGGTGATAAAACTTAGTTCTACCTTTGTGCTCAACACAAGATCTGGTACCGTTATGTAATCAACGTGTCTAGGGTTCAGGGCCGTGATATCACTCGAGACCACAAATGTGGACTGAAGTGTACAGTAGTTTTATGTAATGCATTCTGAGAAAATTTTTCTGTGGGTAAACATTTTTTTCCTAATTCAAGACATTTTATCAGTGTACACTCACACTTCAATTTATCTTTATAGGAAATGTTTGTAAATGTTATGAATTAGGAAATGTAACCTTAAGAAACAAGAACATCTCAAATGGATCACCATTATCAGGCTTTATAATATTCATGCTCTCTAATGATAGTTGTGAAAAAGTCTGGTGGATATATCATGGATGTGTTATCATTTCAGTGTTACTGTAACGACTCGGCGAGAATAATGGACCCGACCCCTCTGCAGCAAACAGTGATGGAGTCCCCTGAGGTGACCTCTGACCCCCAGGAGGTTGACCTCGGTGCCCCCGCCTCCCCTTCTGAACCCCCAAATACTCCTAACGCTGACCAGGCTTATGAGCCCCTTAGTTATGATGAGGTTTGTACATTAATGCAGTAGTATCTCTTCAAGGTTACATTAGGTTTGGATAATAACAATAAATGGTTAATCCTGAGAATGAGCTACATCACTACAGTACAATTACATCTCAGTTTACAGTGCATAAGACAGTACAGTATAAAAGGAGTAAAAAATATAAAATTGTGAATAATGACATTACAGTATTACATTACAAACACATGTGAAATTATAAACAGTGATGTAACAAAGCAGTAATAACTCTGGTCCTTAAAAAATAAAGTCCTTTTGCATAATGTAAATGTTTGCAACAAGATGTAATGTCCTCATAGTTGTTTACTTATGTTGAGAAGAGTTCATGGGAGGTCTAGGTTGGTGGGTTAGTAAAATATAGTACCGGTACAGGCTGTTCTGTCGAAGTTGTAGAAAGTGAGGTTCTTGATACAGTGGTCCCTCGGTTGACGAAATTTCGGTTAACGAATTTCTTTCCACAAGAATCTTCATTTCAGTTAAAGAACAAAAATTTGGTTAACGAAATTCTTACGAAAACGTGACAGCATGTTTTGGCTTGCTCACCAGCTGGAAAATTAGTCCGCCAATACAGTAATCGGTTCTAGGGCTTTTATTTGTTTCCATTGGAGTAAATATCAAGAAGGTTGTGTTATTCAATATTTTTCCAAGTTTTATATTAAAATTATTAGTCATTTTAACACTTGTTTAGCATAATTGCAGTACAGGGAACTAGTTTTTGGTGCACCCATCAGCCATTTCACTCACCCACCAAGGTGTCAGTTTGTGTCTCTGTTCAGTTGAGGAAACATCTTGCTTGTGGCTCTCTTGAACACAGTATTTTTACATTTTTACAATACAATTATTGGTCATTCTGAAATTTATTTAACATATTGATAATATATAGTACAGTGCAGTGTTGATTTAAAGAAAATAATCTTGAATTAGACCTAGTGAACTTAAAATTTTATTGGTGAAATGATGGCATCAAGCATGGGTCCCCTAGAATGTGATTTTTCCTCCATCCCCACTTCCTTCTCTTCTCCCTTCTCCTCCACCCCCACTTCTAATTCCCATCATCATCATCAACCAGGAGCCTTCTACATACACACCTCAAAGTAAATGTACTTTACTACATTTTTTTACTTTGTATGTACTTTTCGGTGAGCTGGAACCAATATCCCATTGAAACAATGGATTCCGTTAAACAAAATGTTCGGTTAACGAACGACCTTCTGAAACGAATTATGTTCATTAACCGAGGGACCACTGAATATGTGCTTGGTACTGTACTGTGTATCCTTCCTTTTACCTGTAGCAGTCACTGTTGAATGTCCTTCAATGTGAGTTTGGCAGGTTCCTTGGAAGTATCATAAATAAATGTATATAGGTTAAATTATCAAACCCAAATGGTCTTTTCTCGATCTGTTAAGAAGGTAAACTAGTGCACAAATAGTTATGATATCACTGTAATTAATGGTGTGAACATTAATAAAAATATGAAGCTTCGGGAGCCTCATGGTGTATCGTGGGCAAGAGAGTGTGGAACCGAGGGTAAAACTCAGGTAACGGGCCAGGGGTCTGGTCCTTAACATTAACATAGCCAAGGTAGAGGGCTATAGATCAGATGTCAAGAGTTCATCTGTTAGACAAAAAGATTGATTACCAAACATCACTCGCTAAGCATTAGAGGGAAAATGCTAGACACTTGCTCAGTTTAATTACTGTGGGTGTAGTAATTATTCATAAACATAATGTATGTAGTCCACATTTATTTAAGTATTATTGTCTGCTAGGCAGGGGCTAATACATTGCTAAAGTACACCTAAGGTTTTCTTTTTACCTTGTTTTAACAAAAGTAAAGAGAAAGTAACTTTTCTCTTTATCACTGGGAAGAAGACTGAACCTTGGCCTTAGGAAAATGAGATCTAGTTTATAACATACCATTGAGTAGTTTACTTGTTCAGTGTTTAACTAAATCATTTTTTAGTATTAAAAAATATATATATATATTTTGTTACAATTGTTTCTATTTACTCAGCTCTTCCCTGCTCTGCCTAATGCAAGTTTGACTCAAACCCCAACGGTTGAAGCTCCCAGAGACAACTGGGCCAAGCCCAGTGAAATGCGCATTGCCTCTTCTGTTATCACCCAGGTCAGTACATCGGCAAATCTTGATAATAGAGCTCATGCGTAAACTATTTTAATGTCGAACATTTGGGTACAACTTTCAGGCCAAGAACTTGATCATTGGTACGGTGTTTTCATCATTAACCAACCACATGAATACCTTCTCTTGGTGTGGTTTGCTTTATACTGTACACTAAAGATCAGATGATACAGCTGAATTTTTTCTCTTTTTTTTTTCCTTTTTTCAATATCAGTCATATTAACTTATGGGTTTACTTAACACTCAGAAGGGATGGAATCTGCTGTCTCTTCAAAGTAATGAACACTTCAACCAACAGTACAGGTACATACTGTATATTAATGTGTTATAGTACAGCCCTTGGGAGGTAGTAGATGCATTTTAGGTTTTTGATGAAGAAATACCTTTTCTTTTGCTTATTCCACTTGTACCTTTCTCTACTTTTATTTCCTCCATTTCTTGAAGATTTTGTACCATTTGATCCACTACAGAATATATTAAAGAAAAAAAATGCTATTGACTTTGTTGTTGAATGAAGCAGTGTCTATAAGCCATACTCTTGGGGACCACTGGCCATCTTTTAGCATACTGTATTCTGAAGGGAAGATGAAAATTATAAGAATTGTGTTGTTTATTCTGTGGATTATTATGTAATAACACTAGACCTTTCTACAGGTATTCCGTGTCCCATATGAAGAGAGAGCCAAGATCGATGGGAATAATCAATTTGGAGAATCTGCCTCTTCTCGCATCTGTGCGGACATTACTGCCCGTACAGGAGCTCATATTGAGATCTCCTCGGCCAAGGATCAGTCTTTGACATTCTTAGTAACTGGCAAGAATGACGCTGTGACCAAGGCCCGGCGACTTGTCCTGGAGAAATTCCAGACTCAGGCTCGCCAAATTATTAAAATACCAAAGGTGAGAGAATTGTCAGTAATTGAAACTGCTTTAATAATTTTTGTATTGCAAGTTAAAAATATTAATGGTACAAGTAGTTGTAGCTAATGGTGATGGTACATCTTTGGAGTCCAGATCTATTATTCTCCTGTTGATAAGAAAAGACTTGATCAATATCATACATGTGCTCTTGTAATGAAGGGCATTTTGTTTGCCATTTTTGCTTGATGTTTAATGCAAATACATTATTTTTACCCTGATACTATATGCAAATTATTAGCTCATCCACTGGTTCAGATTATCACTTTTACTACCCTGTCTTCTTTCTTTTGTTTGTTGTCATTGTAGTGTAACTTGACAAGGGTTCATCAATTTGCTGTATCAAGCATAATATCAATCACAATTTGTAGTCCTGTAAGACATTTTGATCCAGTATTTACTTTTTTAAAGAGCACTTAAGTGAATAGTTGGCTGTAGTAATTGTTAAATACTCCCCTGTATTGAACATATGCCCTTTGTAACAGGATCACCATCGCTTTATCCTCGGTAAGAAGGGCAAGAGGCTACAAGAGATGGAGATGAATACTGCCACCAAGATCCAAGTACCCAACTCAAAAGAGAACTCTGATGATATTATTGTTATGGGCACGAGAGACAGCATCGAGAAAGCCATGCATGAGATCCAACTCATTTCTGATGAACAGGCAAGTAATATTGTTTATTACTTGTCACTGCTTAATGCATCTATTGGTAGATTGTAAGTACAGTTCATATTTATGTAGTGGATATTTTTCACAGCATAGAAGTGATGAAGTGCTGGTTTGTTAATATTCACTCAAATTTAACTGAATCTGACTTAAGTACTTTTGAACTTGGAAGAACTATCCTGATGGAGTAGTGCCAGTGTGCTATTTAAAGATTTTCTCTTTAATTTGAAGTTCAGTATTTAAGTGTTGGATCTAATTCTACAGTGTTTGGTCGTTAACAGAGGCAAGCTTGATATGGAGTTCAGTCCTTTATTCTCTGCCAGACTTCACTCACTAATGGTCTATATCATTTAACATTGATAGTTCATATACAGTACATACAAGAATATAGACATCATTAACCCCTAGACTATGGCCCATGTGAATAGATGTAACCACTGAGGAATTTGATGCACATTAATAGATAATGAATTTTTCTGCCAAATAACACGTCATCTGTGGTAGTCTGCTAGGCTTGGCAAGCACTTGCATCTCGTCAGTTGCTTCGTAACTACCAATGGTCCTTCACATGTATCAGCCTCTTGTGTGTCCCAATTAATATATACTATGTTTACACAGGTTATTGACCACCTACACAGTGTTCATGTAATAGATATTAATGAAATGTTATTCGAGAAAACAAATGATCAGAAATAATTTATTAATGTCATGGTCAGACAAGATGAACATACTGTACATTCCCACAGCCTGCCCTCACTTAACCACACCACTGCCCCACACCAAACCTACATCACTCCTGATGATTGTCACACTTCCCAGGGGAGCAAAAAAGACGATAAATGATTTATTGTTCAATTTGCTGTATCTGGAAGTATATCATTGGGAGAACATGCCTGCATTTATAGGCTTATCCAAATAACTATTGTACTAGCTAACAAAATTCTGGCTCACACTGGATTGAAAATCTTATAAATGTTTTTAATGATATACAGGATACAAATAATATAAATTTAACTTTTTGGAACAGAGTAAACAAGCCTATGAAAAATTAGAGATTCCCAAGCAATTTCATCCATTCATCTGTGGGGCCCACAATGACAAGATTCAAGCTCTAATGGCTGAAAACAATGTACGTATCAATGTGCCACCACCCAGCGTTATGAAGAACGAGATGACTATTGCAGGAGAGAAAGAAGGTGTACTGCGTTGTAAAGACATCATTTTGAAGTGCCATAAGGAGATGGTATGTTATTACTGTGGTTAACTTGTAAATGATGGAAACCTTTTGTTGGTGTTTAATAGGGTACAGTACAGTATAGTATATATGAAATGTTTAGTGCCTTTCATGGATTGATCTTGGTATTAATTGTATTTGATAACTTAAAAAATAATCCGTTTTCAGAAGTTATTGTTGGAATACATCTTTATTATCGAGAATTAAATAAGTGGTGAAAGCAAGAGTAATGGGCTGAGGTGCAAGTTTTATGAATAATGTGGGATGTAGATGGGAGGGCAATCCCTTCCTGTCTACAGAAGAACTGCTCTTGTGGGCAGTTTTGAAGAAAGCTATATATGTCAGTGTAAGAGTTTAAAGTTGTATGTAGCAAGAAAAATTGGGTAATGAATACAGTATAAATAAATGTGATGTGATAAAGTAGAGCAAGGAATCAACAAGAAATTTATCATAGCTTAAATAGAGATAGAACAGAGGATATTGTGTTTCACTTATGTAGGAGATGGCTTCAGCAAGTGGACACATGATTAATGAACCACAGTGAGGCAAGAAGTGTCGATGAAGGAGCAAGGAAAGTAGTGGAAGTGATAAAAATTATGTATTTGAATGCATTGTGTGTGTGTGTGGTGAAGGGGAGGAATGGAATGCATAGAAAAAAAAAAAAATATTAAAAAGCTGTGGAAGGGAAAGAAATAGTGGGAAGAGAGCAGTGCATATATGATCATGTTTTGCTATTTTTTATATAAATTTAAAATTCTAGGAGCGAAAGTGTCAAACGGTGTCAGTGGAAGTTCGTAAATCACAGCACAAGTACGTTATTGGCCCCCGTGGGGCGAACATTGCTGAGATACTCCAAGAGACTGGGGTCTCTGTGGAGATGCCACCCACAGAAACCACCACTGAAACCATCACACTTCGTGGTCCTCAGGATAAACTTGGACAAGGTATGTCTTAGTGTTAAATATTAATTCTTAAGGAATCTTGTTAAGGGGTTAAAGTTGACAGTTCTGTTTTTAGAACCCTAATGTGTATTGGGTGTTGTTTATAGTGTGTGTGTGTGTGTGTCATGCCAGCTTTGAAACCCTAAACTTAAACATGAACAAAGATTGTCCCAAACACACCAGAAATTTTGTGGGTGTTAAAGGGGTTCAAAGTTGGCATGACACTTATATTCAAGAGAGAGAGAGAGAGAGAGAGAGAGAGAGAGAGAGAGAGAGAGAGAGAGAGAGAGAGAGAGAGAGAGAGAGAGAGAGGAGAGAGAGAGAGAGAGAGAGAGAGAGAGAGAGAGAGAGAGGAGAGAGAGAGAGAGAGAGAGAGAGAGAGAGAGAGAGAGAGAGAGAGAGAGAGAGAGAGAGAGAGAGAGAGAGAGAGAGAGAGAGAGAGAGAGAGAGAGAGAGAGAGGAGAGAGAGAGAGAGAGAGAGAGAGAGAGAGAGAGGGAGAGAGAGAGAGAGAGAGAGAGAGAGAGAGAGAGAGAGAGAGGGAGAGAGAGAGAGAGAGAGAGAGAGAGAGAGAGAGAGAGAGAGAGAGAGAGAGAGAGAGGAGAGAGAGAGAGAGAGAGAGAGAGAGAGAGAGAGAGAGAGAGAGAGAGAGAGAGAGAGAGAGAGAGACTAAATTGGTCATCTAAACTTTTGATGTAATTTTTTTGCTCATCTGATGGCAACATTACTTGTCACATTTACAAGTTAAGGGGAGAAAGAATGGCAATTTAGATGCATCATTTCCTAAAAGTGTCCTGACAATGGGTGTTTCCATTCCTTGGAAATCCAGACTAGGGGGGAGGGGGGTCAAGCTGTATGAACACGATAGATTAAAAAAAACCTAGATCCCTGAAGGTTGATATTTATATATATTTATATATATATTTATATATATATTTATATATATATATATATATATATATATATATATATATATATATTTATATATATATATATATTTAAATTAACTATCTTACAACTTGTTTTAATACTGTTATGAAGTCTATTGTGTGCAGCTGCCCATACTTTTTATTGAGTTTGACATGGTTAAATATGATAAATCATAGACATTTTAATTTCTTAGAGTAGTAAGGTCAGTATTATGTGTACAATAAAAAAAAGTTTCCTGAGTTTGATAAGAGGCCACATAATAAATTGATAGTTGTTTCCTAAGTTTGATAAGGACAAATATGAAAGACTGTGATGTTTGTTTCCTAAGATTAATAAGGACAGATATGAAAATTTTTAAAATGGTTATCTTGCAGCTCTTACACTGGTGTATGCAAAAGCCAACAGCGTGGTTCAAGCAGATGTGGAGGCTCCTACCTGGCTCCACAAGTTTATTATTGGTCGTAAGGGAGCCAACATTCGGCAGATAACTCAGGATCTCCCCAAGGTTAGTGCACACACTTGTGTAGCTGTGCAAGATGACTGGGACAGACCACATATAGTAGAGTATGTCTAATGACAAGACATTAGAATGCTTGCATGACAATGTATTGAGGGAGTGTGTTTGCTGTTAATTCTGGCCTGCTTGCATTATAATGAGAAAAACCTTTGAAGGAGCTGGGAATAAGCTTGCAATTAGCTATAAAAACTTGGCTACATTGATCAGCAATACAGATGGGAATTTCTCATATGCTGCAGTCTGCTCATACCACACGTTTTCTGGCCCACACATGTTGAATCAATGCATCTGATGACCATTTTTTTCCAATCTTTAGAATTGCTTGTTCTCTGGCATTATTTCTTTCTGTTAAGGGGTTGAATATATAATATGCATTTTACTGAAAAAGAAAGAATACTCAAGTAGTCATGGTTCTCACAACATTTTGCATTTTGAATATTATATTTTGTTGGCAACTAGTTAAAAGTAGAGGTTTGCCGTCTTCTCAATTGTGTATTACACCAAGAGATTTTCCTAGACAGAAGGACATGTTGGGTGTTAAATATAGTACAGTAGGCCCTTAACATACGCTGGGGTTAGGTAACAGAGATACCCGTGAATGTTAAGAATCCGCGTATTTTTGCTGCCCCCCAAACACCCTGGCCCCCATGTCCTTATTTATCAGATAATGCATTGTATACCTGTGTGTAGTTCGAGATTTTAAGACCAAATTTTTTGGCAATAAATTGGGGGTCGACCTCTATAAGGGTAATAGTTTCGTTAGGTTGAAAAATATTTACTAGTAATTACCAGTAAAAATGGAAACGACGCACAACCAGCTGTGAGTGTCGGTACAGTTGCCAGGGCAGATCTCTTGCGTCATCATAGCAAGCCCAAAGTAGCCAAATGCATGGTATGGTAGCACAGGACGATGTAAAACATAAAGTATTCATTTTTTAAAGTTTATTTATAGATACATTAATTTTTGTTCATTACATTTGAAACATCAATCTTTGTTAATTAAATTTGAAACAAAAGAAAACTACGATACCGTATTTCTAAATACCGGGTATTTTCGTTAAAATATTACATCACAAGTATATTTTACCTTAACTGTGACTGAATGAATATATTCTCAGAAATAAATATGGAAATGTAATATTTTTGCTGAAATTACGTACGTATTACAGTGGAAAGTGGGATAAAATCATGACGAAAACAATGACTTTCGCTTTCTTTCGTTGTTCAAAAGAGGTTACTGTAATCGCTTTTCGAATGGTTTTCAGTTAAAAACTGTTGCATCACAAGTGAATTAGGATAGAATATTATTGTAATACAACAGTTTTTTAACTGAAAACCATTCAAAAAGCGATTACGGTAACATCTTTTGAACGAAAGTAAGCGAAAGTCATTGCTTTCGTCACTTTCCACTGTAATACGTACGTCATTTCAGCAAAAATATTACATTTCCATATTCTCAGAAATAAATAGTAGTTTTGCTGAAACATAATGCATCTCAATGTAAATTAGGATAAACTACATGAAAACAAAAGAATTTACCTAACCTTCCGATGTTCAAGATATGTTACTCGTTTTGTTAATAGTTTTTGGTTAAAATACTGTTATATTAGTGATACTCTATTCATACTGTGCTTGATGTAATACATTCACGGAAATGTAATATTTTTGCAACTACAATGCTGATGTCAACACAAGCGTGGTTACAGCGAGACTGACTGACTGAGGGAACGCGGGGTGGCGCGGGCGATGTGTGTAGTGTGTGGTGTCGCGCGCTATTTGAATAATGTATATTCCTCCAGCGGCAATCCTCGTATTTGCAAATCCGTGTTAGTTAAACCTGCGTATGTTAAGGGCCGACTGTATTGCATAAAACCAATTAAAGTGATACGTCCCTTTGACCTTTGAGCTGATCTCTTAAAATCATATTGAAAAGCTGAATGTTAGTGCAGTGGTTCCCAATCTTTTTCAGGTGAAGATTCACTATAGCTCACTCAAAGAATTCATGGCTTAACCTCATTTCCTAAGCTGTGATCACATTTATATTAGAATTAATAAGCAAGTTGTCTAATCAGACTGTTAACTTGTTAAAAGACTAGCATTCGTCAAGTTCAATTTAACACAATGGAAAAGGGATACTGAAGTTTATTGACATTAACATAAAAAAAAGCAATCCCTTGACATATGTAATCACCATGACCAGGTGAAAGGTAAACACACCAACTGGCGCTACATTATAGTGAAAGCCACGTGTAATTCACTCACAGAAAGTTCCGCAAATAATTAGCCATCTCGGAAACCTGGAGTCGTGCATCTTAAGCACATACATAAGGTACCATTGTGGGAAATTTTATTTATAATAATTTTTTTCTGTTAGAGTATGCGTTCTTGTTGGAGGTAAAATACAGTGGGGTATGCTATAACGAACGTAATTGGTTCCAGAACCTCGTTCGTTATAGCATTCGTTCGTTATAGGATTAATCCGTTCCAGGCCCCCAAATACAACCGCTTAACACTGAAAAAATTCTGTGGAAAATGTAAAAAATACGGTACTTTATCTTACCTTAGTGTTATTCAGCATGCAGGTACCCCTAAACACTGGCACATCACTATCACTTCCACTGGGAGTCTTGGCTTTAAGGTCCTCAAACAATTGTTTAGCCTTCTCACAAATTATAGCTTCACTAATGTTACCACCTGCCATTTCTTTCTCCTTTATCCACACTAAGAGTAAATTTTCCATCTCTTCAATCACATTACACCTTGCTTTGCTAAGTCTAAAGATTCCCTTAGCCACTTGCACAGTTTTTAACTCCTCTTTATTCTTCAAAATCGTACATATAGTCGATTTAGCCATCCCATATTCATCACTAAGTTTCGCAATGCTTCTTCCATTCTCACGTTTCTTTATAATTTCTTTCTTAGTTTCAAGGGTTATTAGCTTTCTCACTCGCTTTGGACGACTCATTGTTACAATTGTATACTTGTATAACAAAATAGTTATACAAATAACGCGAATTTCCACATCAAAAGACGAAATTTCAACAATAACAGTGGTGCACTGGCTACACAATGAGACAAAGATGGCGCCTGACGCTCTTGTTGTGGGTTGCGGTACAACAATATTCATGCGCCAGGCGAAATAGTCCGGTATTCATCCGCGTTCGTTATAGCATTCTCAATTTTATAGGTAAAACCGTTCGTTATAGGAATATTCGTAGTAGGATCCGTTTGTTATAGCATACCCCACTGTACATACCGGTATTGTAAATTTCCAGAAGTTAATGCATCAATTTGATGAAATGTCACAAAATATTAAATATTTGGATAGTCATTCATATGCTATTAATTATCATACATTTGACAAACTCCTGTGGCTCACCCAAATATTCACCATGTCCCACCAAGATATTAGTGTACAGGGACTTGTAAAACTTTGTAATGATCAGTGTCTTTTGACAAGAGGAAGACAAAATAAGGAATTGTTTAGTAATTCATTAGTACCCCCCATGATTCCTATTTTCAATAATTTTTTACAATTTTATTCATCACCTGTATGGAACCATTTATATTGATTTGCTTACATTCATGGTAAAGTGAGTTAAATTTTCTTTTTCATAAATGGTCAAGATTTGACATAAAACGTGTAGTTGAAAGCGTACTCTGGTTCTTGAAGATTTATTGTCCACTTAGATTAGAGGCGGTGTTCATGATATTATGTACCTTTTCCCAGGGAGTTAATGGACTATATTACAAATAATAAACAGCTGTCTTACATTAAGGGAATCAACCATGCATGATACCATTGATATCTTCCTTGCTTTTAGTAACTGTTAAGGCTGATTGTGCACTGTTCGCTTGCAGGTACATGTGGAGTTCACCGACAAGCAGGGAGGAATCAAGCTAGAGGGACCTCCTGAGGAAGTAGAGCAAGCACGAGAGAAGTTAGAGACAATGATAGCAGAGATGCAGAGTAAACTGTGCTTTGACCAGATCACTGTGGACCCTAAGTAAGTTGTTATTCATTATTCACTTGAGTATTATTGTTCACATCATTGTAGATCTCATTACTGGCCATAACTGTTTTCACAACATGAATAGAATGTTAGTGGGTGTTAACATGCTATGCATATTTAATTTATTTCTACTGTTAATAGTTATACAGTACTTTCTTTCGCTTATTGTTTTGAATAGTATTCTTTCCCTGAAATAAGAAGCCTTTAGTCTGAAAAAGATAGTTTCCCTTTTAATACACCAAAAAGTTTATACCAAGATCTCTTCATAGCTATTGAATATTATGTTTTTCATCTTTTACTCCACTCATTTTCTTAACTCTTCATTGCATTTGTTATAGATCTAAATATAATCATGTAACCACAGGTTTTACAAACACATCATTGGAAAGAGTGGTGCGAACATCAACCGGATTCGCAATGACACTGGAGTTTTGATCAACATCTCTGAGGCTGATGGCAGTAACCTCATTCGCCTAGAGGGTAGCCCAGAAGGGGTATCACAGGCTAAGAAGGTGAGTGGAGGTCTGTGTTGGCTGAACATCTGTACCATCTCTCCATATGAGCTATTATTAACATATCCATTAATGTGGTGTATACATAATCATTCTTAAGAGTTAAAGTTAGTGTGAAGTTGAAAGATGGGTGAAGCCAATGTGAAGCTGTAAGATGGGTGAAGCCAGTGTGTAGCTGTAAGGTTGGTGAAGCTAGTGTGAAGTTGTAAGATGGGTGAAGCTAGTGTGAAGTTGTAAAGATGGGTGAAGCTAGTGTGAAGTTGTAAGATGGGTGAAGCTAGTGTGAAGTTGTAAGATGGGTGAAGCTAGTGTGAAGTTGTAAGATGGGTGAAGCTAGTGTGAAGTTGTAAGATGGGTGAAGCTAGTGTGAAGTTTTAAGATGGGTGAAGCTAGTGTGAAGTTAATACTTTGTATGTTTATTATATTATTATGTTTATACATTATCAGTACCTGTACTTCTCAGATGAAAGATGATACAAAGTAGATTTATTTTGGTAGCAAATATAAAGTTGATGGTGATTCAGGAATATAGAAAGAATGTTAGGGAAAGGACAAATGAACCAAGATAATGTGAGGCAATTGTTGTTGTTATTATTGTTATTATGAAAAAATTCTGTACAGGAATTGGAGGAGCTGGTGGCAAAGATGGAGAATGAGAAGGAACGTGACATTATCATTGAGCAGCGTTTCCACCGCACCATCATTGGTACTAAGGGAGACAAGATCAAGGAAATTAGAGACAAGTTCAATCAAGTTCAGATCTCCTTCCCTGACCCAGGTGAGGACTTCATTACTAATTACAGTATTGATAAGGCAATGTTATCTGGTTCTAAGAATCTAAGGGATTCTTTCAGGTGAATATCATTAAACTCCAGTCATCAATTCAGGGTATTTTCTGCTTGTAACTTAATAATGTGCTAAGTTATTGAACTTCTCAATTCAGTACCTTCTTACCTTAATAAATACAAGGTTGATAGGTGAATAGTTTGTTGACAAACCCATATCGCACATTAAAGTATTTAGGCATTACAACTGAAGGAACTTGAGGGAGGGGAACCGAGAGAGTGAAATAGTTACCCAGATTTACTTAACGGAGTGACTTGAACTTTACTTACATGTTCATGTGAGTGGGGCAATTAAAGAGGGCTCAAGGAGGCATTGTTTTGCATGACTAATATGGTAGCCTTTGGTTAATCAAAATGCAGTTTGGTACAGGGTATACTGTACAGTGATATTCTGGAGTGGAGATTTGAATTGTTAGTTTTATGATTATACCAGGCCTCGAGTAGTGTTTTATTTCTAAAGAAGGGATTTTACTTATAAATTAAATTCCTAATGGCAATATGGAAGGGTGGTTAATTTGAGGTAACCCAACGTTAGAATGAGTGAAGTGGTGTTGATTCCTTATCTACAATGTCTCGACTTATTATTTCATGTTTTTAATGAGGCAAGTGTATATAGAACACATCATACACTCTCTTGCCTTTTTTAAGACTCATGAGCTTGTACTGTTATCTCTCAAACTTTTACCTGAGCTTGAGTTCTAAAGTTGGTCTGACTTTGGCTCCACTCAATTTTTCACTCTGGGTTTTCTTTGTATAAACAATTCTCATAAATTCTCATTATATTTCTATTTCCGTAACTTTTTATTCCCAGGTGACCAATGTGACATCGTTAAAATCCGTGGACCCAAAGACGATGTGGATCAGTGCTACCAGTTCCTGAAGAAGATGCTGCGGGAACTGTTGGAGTCAAATTACCAGGTCAAAGTCTCTATCTTTCGCCAGTTCCACAAATTCATCATCGGCAAAGCTGGTGCCAACATTAACAAGGTGAGCTAATATTTACTGTAGTTTACTAGCACTGTTGAGAAGTTGGAGGTAAACTGATGGACCTCATTTGCCCATGGATTCAATTCTATCAGGAAGTAAAGAGATTATCTATAAGATTTTAATATTGCTAGAAATAAAATCATGATTGTGAGGTGACTGAGATAAGGGTCAGTAATGTATAACCTACTGACAGGTCCTGCATGAGTCTTACTAATTTCTGTCTGATATGGATCATAAATTTAACTGTGAACCTGGTCATCATCTTAACCTTTGGGTAACTTTACAGATTAGAGAGGAAACAAGTACTCGCATTGACCTGCCATCAGAAGGCCAGAATAGTGATGAGATAACCATCACAGGCAAGAAGGAGAACTGTGAAAGGGCTCGTGAACGCATTCAGAAAATCCAGGATGAATTGGTAAGTCTCTCCGAATTGTGTATTTTTATCAGAGAAAAAGTTTGTATTTTTTTAGTGGATTCAATACTGTTTTTGGCAAATGTTGTTTATTTGTATGTTGATGATGCTTGTCTCTGGGCTTAAGTGGGTGTTAATTTATGTCAAGGTGATGTTTATGATGTGTCCGTGAACCTACAGTCAAATAGCCTGCAAACTTTGATCCCCACAACTTTAAATAAAAAAAAAAATAATAGTTAAACTCACGTGAATTATTGTAACTAAAGACTTGGTATTTTTATATGTACAGGTATTTTTTAAATATGTACATAAACTAGTTCTGACAAAAGCCAGATCCAGTCTATATTTTGATAGAACTTTATTAGTTTAGTTAAATTCTTCTACTTTTAAGCCCCCTTCATCAGATAAAAGAAAGAAATTATAAAAATCAGTCAGTCTCCTTTTTTTTTTTACATGTTTATATGTTCTGAAATAACTACTTGGGGTACAGTCACCCAAAGGAATGATCTCACAATTTCCAGAAACTTTCTATCAAAGTGGTATCTGGCTCCTACCAGACTCCCTTTATTTTTGCTTATATTTTTTCCAGGTTGAAATTTTGTTTGAAATATTAACAAATTAATTAATAAATGCTAAAGTAGTTTTTCATAAAAATATTGTAAGAACAAATCATGTACAGTAGTTAAAATTTTAGTTAATATTGAAACAAAATAATACTGTATTGAAGTTATAATTGGACATCAAAATAAAAAGGTATACTGTACATTATTATGTTCAGCTGAAATGAATATCGAGTAAAAAATGTGAATGTAAATAATATTCGTCCTTACCACATTTATGTCTTGTTTTTAATGAATATGTAAATAAATATTTTCCATACTCATCATCTCAATGGACAATGACATAAATCAGGAATCATTCACAAACCAAATTTTGAGTTTAAGATAAACTACAGTATATGCTTAAATAAACATTTCTTGATGCCTTTTCCCCAAATAATTTATAAGAAACTTGTCACATGTACTCTGAAGTTGTAATATTTAGCCCCAAGAATAAAATATAATACATTAAAGATTCCCATTCAGCAGTCATTTGTTGTGGATGAAAAAAAAAGTATAACTTGGTTAAATTTTTAAGAATTCTTATTCAACTAATAATTATTTTAGAGTAACAAATGCCTTTCATATTGTTTTAAAAATAAAACCACTTCTGAACAAGGAACTAATCCATATGTAGAATGTTCTACATATCAGCTTGTTTTGCTGTATCATCTCAGACTGGCTGTCATTTTTTTCCCTGTGCACATGTTCTTTGTCTTTCAAACATGGGATTGGTATATAACTTTTACTACTCCTTTTGAAGCCTTTTACCTGCTATAATATGAGAGCATACCAAAAAAAACTTATGCAGCGATAAATTTGGCTCGGGAATTCATTAATATACCATTTTACTACAATGGCGTCCAGCCCACTGTTCAGTCACTCGCTCGGCTCCCACCAAGTTGCCAGATACTAGATACTGCTATATGAATGAATCAAATTGAAAACTGTTGCATCACTTCTAAGGTTGATTGTACATAATATCTTGCAATTGCTTCAACAACCTTTTTTCCCCATAAATTTATATCTTGTTTTATGGATATTATTAACACTGGATGTCAGTCACAGAGACGGCCAAAGGATAAAGATGCGTTAAGGCTCTCTTGATAGTGATCGGTGTGTTTTAGTGGTGGTGGTAAGTTGATAAGCTTTTATTTATCCAGGCAAGCATTGTTGAGGTAGACATCATCATCCCAGCCAAGTTCCACAATTCAATGATTGGTGCTGGAGGAAAGTTGATTCAGAGTGTGAGTGAGGAGTGCGGTGGTGTGGCCATCAAGTTCCCACCACCAGAGAAGAGCTCAGACAAGGTACGTTTCATTGTAAACAATATATTTTAAGAAGTTTTCTTTAATATAATAACTGCGGGACTATGCCCTCATAATTGGTATTTCTAAGTTCAGGGTTTTAGCTTTTTGTAATGTTTAATATGAATTGGAAATTGCAATATTTGTGTAGAATATGTACTGTTAATTATAAAAGGGAATATGTACTGTATTTCATGGCATATTAGGTGCCCCACCATTGAATATGCACCCTTAACTTGACCTGGTATAGGAAAAGTGCTCTTACTCTTTCAGTTTAGCAAGTAAGATTCAAGGTGAGTTTTGGCGAAATTTTTGGATAAAACTTGCCTCTTATTTGGTGGAAAATATGGTAACTGTTTGCAGTGAAGGTGACTGCTCTTTTCTTTTGTTATTAGATACTAACGATAGAGGATTCTTTTTTCTAGGTCACAATCCGAGGCCCCAAGGATGATGTGCACAAGGCCAAGCAGATGCTGGTAGACCTCAGCAATGAGAAGCAGCTAGCCAGCTTTACAGCAGAGGTGAGAGTTGGTGTGGCTTATTGGTTCTTGCAGTGATAATTTATTGTAAGAGAAACTTAAATAGTTTCTCTCTTGCTTCTGTGAATCTTTGATAATTATGGCATTCCCGAGTCTACCTAAATCACTTGGTCATTTTTTATTGATACTTCTTAATGTTCTTTCTCTTTATCTATAAATGTTCCATGCAGTTTCTTGTTACTTGCAATGTACAGTAGTTTGCTGCAAATTAAAATATGTATTCTACCTTCTTTAAATCATTCCTGGTCTACTATGTACTGCCTTATCCTAGATATACTCGGCAGACAGATTCCTTTGTACTAGGTACGATGACTACCTGCAGCATTTACCACTCCTCTTACTTTCTCTTTAACTTCGTAATATATGGTCCCCCAAATTTCAAAATTTCTAAACTAATTTAACCCATTACTGGTGGATTCCCTAGTTTTAATTGGTTTAAATCTTTTATCTCTTCAGAATAAAATATTTCTTCTCATTCAATTTTACCTTTTCCTTTCTCGGTTAATACTGTCAGTCCTGTTTGATCAGAAAATCTTCCATGTACAGTATATAGGTTTATTTCACAAAACTTTTTTTCCCAGTTTCATCCTTTCCATCCCTAGAAATTTACAACCAATGCTTCACCCATTTCTTTATTCTCTTTTCTATCCTGTCATTTCTTCCTCAAAGAAATATATGAATAAGTAGAACAATACCGAGATTAGGTTGAGCTTTTATAAATTTAGAATATCATTGTGGAATGTAGTGAGAAAAGTGATGGTGCAGGTAAAAGGATTATTATAGGATGTGATTTGTTTACCTCACTGGATAATAAAAGGGTTATTAAAATTGGTAAAAAATTCTCGTATTCAGTTCAAGCTAATATGAATGTCGATATCATTCACTAGGTGCGTGCCAAGCAACAACACCATCGTTTCCTGATTGGCCGGAATGGAGCTAACATCCGTAAGATTCGCGATGCAACTGGAGCCCGTATCATCTTTCCCACTGACAAAGATGAAGACAAGGAGCTGATTACCATCATTGGCAAAAAGGTAAGCAGCACATGTTGGAAAAAGTTTGATATGTCATGAAGTCATATTCCCTCTATCAATAGTATATGAAACACCATCTTTATAATGTGACACATCACAGGTGTAACTGAATGTTATCCAACACCTTGGAGGAGTAAGTGAACTTAACTGTACAACATAGCATTTCAAATTTTGTTGTTGGGGTAATATAAAGTTTACAGTTCTTTTATATCTTTATTTTATTTTTTTTTAGCTTTTGAAACATTGTACAGCACGAGTCATTGAAAATATCAAAATGCACTGGCATACTGTATGTGTGTCTGTCACTGTTATAGCAACATCCCCCTTCATAGTCATCTATTTATTATTGCCCTTTGATATGGTATTTATGTCTCTTTAGCCTTTAGTTTCTTCCCCCTCTCATTGTTAGTCTTTTGAAGTAGCAGAATAGAAAGTTTCATCTATAGAATATGATATTCCTGACATAGCACTTTAATCTGTTGGAAAATTTTACACACAATATAATTAACTGGGTTATCTTGCTCCTGCTAAGATGTCTCTTCAGATTCACTACCCAGTCACTTGCCTTTATCCAGATATTTCCTTGTAAGACATCTTGAACAAAAAACTCACAAAGATAATAATTCTGTGATGTATTTATATTAATTGAGATGTATGGCTTAAATTATTTTCTTTCAGGATGCCATTGCAAAGGCAAAGGAGCAACTTGAGATAACCATTAAAGAACTTGATCTGATAGTAGAAGATACCATGACGGTAGATCCTAAGCACCACAGGCACTTCGTTGCTCGTAGGGGTGAAGTCCTCCGTCAGATTGGTGACCAGTACGGAGGAGTGACTGTGTCCTTCCCTCGATCAGGTGTGCAGAGCGACAAGGTAAGGGATCTCTGGACCTGGATGGTGATAATGAATTTTCTTGAGACTTAACGTTTTGCATGGGAAATAATAAGAATGTATAGGAACTAAATGACTCGGATTTGTTTTGGAAGTATTTATTAGTAGATTATAACCATTAACCATCACACATACACAATTTCACCTACAGACTAAACACATCACAGTACTACAATGTTTGGGGAGTCACTTGGTATCTAGACATAATCAGATGTTCAGATTAGGTATTATGTTTACATACAAACTTGGTTAGTCTTATGCCATGTATTGCTCACAAAGGTTATCTTTAGCAGCACTGACCCATTTACCATCATCATCAAAGTTTGACAAGATACACAACATGCAATTGATGCCAAACATAAGTCAAACAGAAAATGCGGTCATTAAATATTAGGAAAGGTATTGCAGAAATTCCACTAGATAAGAAGAATTCCCACATACCCCTCATGTATCTCTCGTGGTTCCCTCATCTATTATACTATAGGAATAGCCGTGTGTGTCTGTCTGTTCTGGGCAGCCGAAATGGCACAATCGTTTTTCATCAAACTTGGTGGAAAAATCGCAAAAAATTCGTAGAGTGGAACAAACCTGGTCCCCTGTCAATGGTTTCTTTAGGAAGGCATTAATTAACCATTTTATTTACGCTGGAAAATGATGTAAGTCTACGGACTTGGCGCACCCTCATTCGCTGTATGCTGTCAGCCTGACGGCGGTTGTGCGCTAGCCAAGCACGAGCGTTCAAACTTTCACCGGGCACGAAGGGCCCGCGATCACTTGTGATCACGAGTTAAGTAGGGGGACCAAGATAAGGGTATAGAGTAGAATACTGATGCCAGCGAGATAAAACCACACTTGCTCATATCCTTCAACATGCATGCACTAATATTTTTATTTTTTTCAGGTCACCCTTAAAGGAGCCAAAGAATGTGTAGAAGGAGCGATGGCTCGTATCCAGGAGATAGTAAATGACCTTGAGGAGATGATACACATGGAAGTAATAATTCCCCAAAAATATCATCGCACAGTGATGGGTGCCCGCGGAAGCAAGGTGCAGGCAATCACCACTGAGTTTGATGTACAAATCAAATTCCCTGAAAAAGACAGTGGCCATGTTACTAATGGTGAAGAAGTGCAGCTAAATGGCGATGTAAATGGAGAGGGTGAGATTGTCACAAGGCCTCAAGATATTGTACGCATTGTTGGCAAGAAGGACAGATGTGAAGGGGCTCGTGATGCCTTGCTAAATTTAGTACCAGTCACTGTGGAAGAGAATGTAGCCTTCAGACACCATCGTTTCATTATTGGACAGAAGGGTGAGAATGTACGCAGCATGATGACAGATTTTGATGTAAATATTCAGGTCCCTCCAGCACAAGATCAGAGTGATGTTATCAGGATCACTGGCCCACCAGCTAACACTGAGCGTGCCCGGGAAGCTCTCAGGGATAAAGTACGCCAATTGGAAGATGAGGAACTGGACCGTAAGGCGAGATCCTTCCATTTGCAAGTTGAAGTGGACCCTGAGTACCACCCCAAGATCATTGGAAAGCGAGGTGCTGTCATCTCCAAGATTAGGGAAAAGCATGAAGTTAACATTCAGTTCCCTCCTAGGGGTGACCCAGAGGAAAATATCATCACCATTACGGGATATGAGAAGAACGTGAATGAAGCAAAGGCAGCTATCCTTGCCATTACTGGGGAGTTGGACAAGATGGTTAAAGAAACAGTGGAGATTGATAGCCGCATACACTCTCGCCTTATTGGTAGCCGTGGGCGGGCCATCAGAAAAGTGATGGAGGAATTTAAGGTAATTTGGTGCCCCTTTAGAGGTTTTGTCTTTTTGGGGGTGGAGGGGGACAAATTTTCTGCATTTCTAAGGGGACACTGTAGTTGTACTCAAAACTGATTACAGTCTGACATCATGATTGTGTTAAAAGTTTTTTATACTGCAAGGTTTTTTTTTTACTAGGATGTTTTTCTAGATCATTTTACACCTCTTCTTAAAAGATATTCTATATTTACAGAGAAAGTATTGACACTAGCCATGATGCATAGTACATTCTTCTCTTTGGATCTTACTGCTGCTCCCCAACACAAAATTAATGTAACTAATTGTAACTTACTCTTACAGGTTGAGATAAAGTTCCCTCGTGGAGACGATGACCCCAACATGGTGGTGATCATGGGGTCAGTGGAAAATGTTGACGAATGCAGGGACCACCTACTGAACCTGATGGAGGAATACATGCAGGAGATCTCCGAGATAGAGGAGATGGAAGTATACATAGCTCAGAAACCTGGACATGGGGGAGGACCAGGCAATGCCAACCCAGGTGGTCCCAAAAAGCATGAGGTAAGCCATCATTTTCAAAATTTAGAAGTTTTCATTGTAATAGATTAGATTAGAACTGTTTTGTATCTTTTTAAGCTGTCTCCAATTTTTTTAACAAACATTTTTTGTAACACATTAAAGTGAAGCAAAAGAAGTTCCTTTTTCTTAGGAGAATTATATAAATTTTGTGTTTTGTCACAAATTACAGAAGTTGTTCATTCCTAATTCTGTGCCAAGTAATACAATTGAAATGAGTTAAACTCTTACAGATTTCATTCCCAAAGTATTTAAGGCATTAAGGTTATCCTTACTCATTTTAAGTTTAAACAACGGTTATAAAATAAATAGGGAAAAAGACGAGTAGGGAATTGTAGAAAACGGTCACCTAGCATCCTATCTGAAATTCTGGGAGAAGGAATATATACAGAATAATGTGCTTATTTTAATTGGGTTTTCTTATTTTACAGCAAGGGTTCGTGGTGAGCGGTGCTCCATGGACCCAGGAAGCTCCCAATATGGACTCGTCAGAGGACTTCCCATCCATGGGAGCTCCAACTGTGACACACACGGCCCCAACCATCTGGGGGCCCCGGCGTTAGGAGCTTAAAACGAGTCTGCTACAGCCTCTGTATTCCCACTTTATTCTTGTTTTTACATCCTATCAGCAGCTCATGTTATAATATCTATGCATAGAATTTTTACTATTAGAATGAGCACTCACTCATGTGCTTAAGTAGTCATATCAGGGGTTTAAATTTGGTGGAATACTATCCTTGGAGTCTGTGTGTACCTGTGTAATAACGTTCTAGAGTGTCTGTGGACCTAAAGATCTTGTCATGTGTTGGGAAGATTAACTGTATCTCCTCAAAATATCTGAATTTATGTACAAGTTTGAGTTCATGGGTTTAATATTAGCTTGGCAGAGATTCCTAGAGTCATTGAGATATATGAATGACTTGTTTACACACACACCTGAGACACTCGGGTTCAAAAGACAGTATTGTGCCAACTTTGAACCCTGATATGGCACAGTAATTGACTTTAATCTGCTAAGTCCTTAGATTTTGTTCATTATTCCTCAATATTTAACTTGTTGAGTTGTTGAAATTGTAATCAATTTTTTGAAGTATATTCTACATATACAGATTTTGCCAATAACAATTTTGTACATTAACTTAAACAAACCCTAGGATTAACTTGGGTGCCAATTATTATAATTACTTTTTTCTTTTTCTTTTTTTAATGTACATGGTGTAGGGACAAAGAATTTTAGCTATACTTAGCGAAATTAATACTTGCTTATACACTGGACAGATTGATTGGGGGATCATCTCTGTCTGGTATTTTTATTACATGATGCTGTGTGGTTTTTTTTTTTTTGGGTATCTTAAGTTAATACTATGTTGAACCCTAATTTAATGTTAAATTAAGGGGGACACTAACACATGTATCACCTGGACTTACACAAGCCCCATCAAGCTTATTTGAGTACCAGGTGGTGGGAACAACACCACCACCATCACAAAGTGGATCTTCCTCACTGTCTTGCTGCACGTTGACGACCCTTTAACCTGAACCTGGCCAACGCTAATTGGAAACATTCGCCTAAGATGAGTCATTCTGCCAGTCTTCCCAAATGTACACCAGAAACAACCCCTGGGTAGAAGGTGTCCCAGTCTGTGTGAAACATTAATGCAAACAATTTTATGCTGAGCAGTTATGCCCCAGATTATTATTATTCATTTCTCTTTCTATTTGTTTTTCATCTTTACATTGTTTTATATATATATATATTATAGTATTGTCATTTTTACTTTTTGTCATGCCTTACCCGGTGGAATCTTCACCTCCTTCTCTCGTCGGTTAGGATGGCACGCCTTTGATCCAGGGATTGTCAGGGGCTATTTAAATGAAATGAATGTGAAAAAGAAATTTGAAATGTTTGTTATAATTTTGTTACTTTGAAAGGTATTACAGTTGTTACTATACTATATATTTTGTGTATTTCAAGACAGAGGTGAGGTTACAAAGAGTACTGTAGCACCCAGGTCACTGTGACCTAAAGATGCAAGTGCTGCTATCTGTGGTTTTCACTTAATAAACATATATTGGTATGAACTGTTTTATTCAACCTGATTTATAGATCAGTAGTGTATTCTGTTAATTGTTGCCATCAATGTGTCATTTTTACTTCCCTTCCACTTCAATGTGGGGTTGGATCAGTGGGTATAGAAACCTCAAAGAAAGAAATGGAGATAGTTGTGGATGACAAGCATAGAAGATGATGGAGCAGGACTAAAAGTGGTAATAGAAGTAACTACACATTTGCTTACATATTCTCAACATGAATATGGGAACTTGGGATAAAGGATGTCCCACGATCCTAAAACTGAAGTAACTTATCCTATTAAAGGTTTCAAGGTGGGCATGATCTTTGAATGCCTCGCTACCAACACTGCTGGGTACAATGAGCTTCCATGTCTTGAAAATAGATCATAGTTACTCAGATTTATTGTTTGGGTTTTTTGTTTTATTCAGACATGTTAGTACCCCAGAAAGTGCAAAGCTATTGAATTGACAGTTATGACTTCACCCACTCAACTTTCTTGTTATTTATCTAAAAATTGTACAGTAGATGCTCGACACTGAAAATGTAAATCAAACAGGCAGGTCACAATTTACGAGTGAAAACCCAGAATTTATGAACATAAATTTTTTTTAATGAAAAATAGAAAAAATACAAGTATGATTACTGGACAGTACTGTACTTCTTTCACGAACTTTTGTTAATGTTATCCCAAGTGTTTAGAATAGGTCTACAAATAAGCGTTCAGTGTTTCATCATTCCTACAATCACCATGTAACTCACTTGAAAACACGTGACTCGCACCACACAGTCACTAAGGCAGTTGCTTGATTGTCCAATTTTTCCTCCTTTATTCTCCCGTAATGTGTGGAAAGTTGAATAAAAGTAAATTATTCTGTATTCTTCAATTTCATATGCTTATTTTACACAAAGGTGTGAAATTGTAAGACAAAGTCTGGAATTTGGAATACAAAAAATATTTAGAGGTGTGAATACCTGTTAAAACGTTTGGTAACGTTGTGGGGTACGTGATGTTTGGGTTCACACTCGGGATGGGATGGATAAAGGAAACTCACAATGTGCTCTCTGTATACATGTTGTATTGGATGTACAATGCAGCTTGGTGCTGGGAAGGCAGCATGGTTACAAGCGTTGAGTAGAGAGAGCTGGTTGGTGAGGGTGCTCAGAGGAGGACCAGCTTGTGGGTCACCATGCTCGCCAGCGGGAGCGAGGACTGCCAGGCAGGAGGAGGAGGAGGAGGTGTTGGTTGGTGTAGGTCAAAAGAGAGCTAGGTCACCACGAGGTCAGGTTTTACATAGCGGAGGTAGGTGTGGCGTAATAGTTGACCTCCGTCATGTAAGGCGGCGCTGGTTGACCTAGACCACGAGGCATACACTGGGGAATTCGCGGGGTCGGCTACTCAGCGACAAGCGTTTGTAGGGGAGGAATCCACTACAATGTATAGGTAATAGCAGAGAAAATCTTCATATTAAATAGTAAAAGAAAAATTAGACCATCAGTCTCATGGTGGTCATCTACATGACCTTAACTCAGACAAACTGATCAACTGAACATAAATATTTTTAAGAAACGTTCAGATGTAAATGAAGGTTACATATTGCAGAAACCAACTTTTACTTTTTGCAATCTTTGTTGGTGTAGTGGATTTCTCCCCTACAAACGCTGTTTGTCGCTGAGTAGCCGACCCCACCAATTCCCCAGTGTATGCCTCGTGGTCTAGGTCAACCAGCGCCGCCATACATCACGGAGCGGGGGTCAACTACTAAGCCACGCCTACCCCCCGCTATTTAAGACCTGACCTCGTGGTGACCTGTCCTCTTTCTACCTACAGCCACAGCAAGCAACACCTCCTCCGCCGCTGCCTGGCGGCCCTCGCTCCCGCCGGCGAGCATGGTGACCCACAAGCTGGTCCTCCTCTGAGCACCCTCACCAACCAGCTCTCTCTACATCACGCTTGTAACCATGCTGCCTTCCCAGCACCAAGCTGCATTGTACATCCAATACAACATGTATATAGAGAGCACATTGTGAGTTTCCTTTCTCCATTCCATCCTGAGTGTGAACCAAACATCCTTTACCCCACATTGGAAATCACCTTTTTGGTAGTCTGGGAGGGGGTATCTAAAAACGAGTGATTTTCGACAGCAATCAATATCAAAATCGAATAAAAACCATCGGAAAAACACATTGCTTAACTCAAGAGCCATTTTGATTGAGAATGTAAATTTACCCATTCTAGGTTAGGTTAGGTTAGGTTGGATTTAGAGTTAAGCATTGTGTTTTCCGATGTTTTTTTTGTATTTTATTTGATGTTGATATTTATTTTTGGCAGCGGGGGATCTCAAAAACGAGTGATTTCCGAAGGTACAGTGAAGTGACAAACTACTTTAGATTATTATTATTATTATTATTATTATTATTATTATTATTATTATATAGTGAGGGGTATATACGGTAATTTATTTTATGTCAGACGCACTTCTTGACATTAGTATTTTTTCAGAAATATCATGTAAACAGACCGAGCATGAGCCGTGTTGTGAGGGAGACTGGTCGCCTGAGTCGCCTTGAGGCTGTGATAAGTCTTAGAGAATTATTTCAAAATGCAGAAACCTTTAGCGAAAAAGCTTTCTAAGGGAGTCTTAGATCTTAAGGTAAAGATAGACAGCTGTACTAGTAATTTCCGAATATAGAAAGTATCTAAATATTTTAATATCATTAACTTGAACACGCTGGATAGCTTCAAACACAGGCTGGATGGATATATGAGCAATAGGGGTTGGGTGTAAATGGGACTGCCAATAGGCCCGCTGCAGTTTCCTCCATTCTTATGTTCTTATTTCCGTAATACTGTACTAATAGTATTATTCATGATTCAAAATATTAAATGATTTTTGTGTGTTTGCTTGAAAAATATACATGTGTATTCGATGTTTGCAATTCAAGGCTTCATATTATACTGTATTGTAAAATTTGGTTATTGCCGAGTGATTTGCTCCAGCTATGTTTGGGGGTATTATAGTTTCGGTCATCCGGGAAATCTTAGGAATTTAACCCCAAACAGAAATGGGGTGCCCCGGTTCCTTGGTTCTGTGGCTAGGTTAGGTTAGGTTTGATATCTAAATACATGTACAGGGATGACCAAAACTAAAATTTTACCTTGTTTGGGTCGCTTTATGTGATTACTCGTTTTTTAAAATACCATACAATTTTGTAAAATAAAGGCGGAGGAGACGGTTAGCACAAAAAGGTTTTATGGAATTGCACCAAATTTTCAGGTGTTTGGATGATACTGAGTAAGAAAATATGAATACATTTTGTATTTGTTTTTCTTTTTGACTTATGTGTTGATCATAAATTATTTGTTAGTGGGTATGGCATGAAAGAAGAGGGAAATAATGGGGTAAAAACACTGTGAACACTGATCATATGGCAGTAATATCAAGTCTTTATGTGCTTTGTAGGCAAGGAAATAAATTATTTACCATAATTATGGCACTGTTGGATCTCCCGTGGCGACCATGTTTTGGTTCACATTGTCTGTTATGTGGGAGCATCCGCTGTCTTTCTTCATGTGTCAAGAAATGAACAACGATCTCATTGGGCGTGTTTATTATGATTTATATTCGATTGAATTTGTTCTTTTGTTTAGAGAGAAAGATGTTTGTATGATAGTGAGTAAGAAATGCACAGGTGAGGTTACATAAGTTAAGTCAGGTGCTAATAGGTTTTGTGCCTTGTCACTTCCATTTTTGTATTCAGTATCACCCAATAGTATTTGGTGCAATTCTATAAAGTCTTTCTGGTACTAACGACCTGCTCCACCGTTACCCTTTGTAATGAAAGAAGGAGCAATTTTAGGAAAAGAATCTATAGAAGAAAGCTTGTTTCTTACCTCCTGAATATCTAAGAAAGGGTAGTACTGTATACTTGATGACTGGGTAAATTTTTACTTTTGGACAACAAGGAAATTATAGGAATTTTATTTTTGCAATCAGTAGTTCAGACAATTCTAAGACACTTTACTTCTATGATGTTTCACTCACAAATGACCTAACCTAACCTCCTAACAAGGGGGTTCCATCTCCCTGGACCCCCCCAGCAAATATAAGTTGTTTGCGAGGGAAATGTCATAGAATAAATATGTCTTAAAATTGTCGAAATTACCTGTAGTAAAGAAAAAATTCCTATGATGAAAACACCTGTACATCAAGTCACATTGTCAAGTTTGCGGACGACACAAAGATACAGTATATGAGAAGGTAGCAAGTCAGGATGATGTTGCAACAATGCAGAAAGACCTGCATGGCCTATTCAAATGGTCTCAAGACTGGCAAATGCTCTTTAACATTACGAAATGCAAGACCCTACACAAAGGGTACAACACCCCTATTCACAACTGCTATATTCTATTAATAACACTTTCTTGGATACTGTCGATAAGCGGAAGGAAATAGTGAGAAAAGCCAATTGAGATTTGGGAATTATAAGGAATACCTTCAAATACAAGGATAGGAAAATGCTCCTTTAACTGTGCAAATCCCAAGGATAGCTATGTCCCAATCAGGATTACTGTATACTGTACAGGCATGGAAACTCTTCCTCCAAAAAGATCTAAAATCCTAAGAACAGGTGCAACACAGGGTAACTAAGATGATTCTGGAATTATGTCATCTCAGTAATCCAAAGAGACTGAGGGCCTTAGGACTAACAACCCTTCAGACAAGGTACAATAGAGTGGCTCTTATTGAAGCATGAACCCAGAATATTTCTTTGTGATGTCCCGCACCACCAACATAAGAGGACACAACTACAATCTCACCAAGTTATCACGCAGAACAAATATAAGGTAATACTGTTTCACACAGACTGGTAGACCTATGGAACAGTCTATCAGCCCAAGCTGTGGAATCAAGAACAGTACTGGGCTTCAAAATAGCCCTTGACAAAATTGTCAGGAACAATGGAAGGATCCCACACTGGCCACTGGCCTCCTTCCCTCAGCATGGTCACCTCTAGTGGGTGGCCATTAGGTTAATAAGGTAAGGTAAGGTTAAGGCTGAACTATACAAAATAATGTATAGTATCATTACAGTAGTTTCCTTGTGTGTTTTATTGTTTTGTGTGGATGTATTTGGTGTAAGAGTGTGTGTTTGTGATACACTCTGGATGATATAAACTTAGTAAGGAAGGTTGGGAACATGTGAGTTACTGGAAAAACCTTAAATTGATCATAAAACATCTTTTTTGTTTCAGTTTATGAAAAAGAGCAAAGAAAAGGCACAGCTTCAAGAAGAAAATGAAGAGCGTCAACACCTGTACCAGAACCAATTATCATCACTGCTTGATGGAGCGTAAGTTGAAAGTACATTAATGGGATAAACCGTACATATGTGAAATTTTTACTGTTCATTTTAGTACTCTACATGATATACTTTCCTACAATGTAGCTAATGATCTGTAAATATTTGACAGCACTGTTTCATTCTACATGAAGGGTGTATCAAACACTGTCAAACTATTTTTGTGATAATGTGTACAGTACTTTTTCATTAGACAGATGGTCCTCATGTTTAGGTTGTGCTTGTGTTTATTAAGCCTACAGGTTGCCCTTGTTTACGCTGGGTTTGCAAGTACTGTAATTGTACTAATACAGTTGACTTTTTACAACCCAGATTTTGTTTGTGCCAGTATGCACATGGAGTTTGATTTATATAAACTTTTATTCTACGCATTTACTTGATTTCATCTTTTTTACATTGAGAGTCTCCCCTAAAGTATTCTTCAAGTTAGTCTGCAAATAAAGAACCACTGAAAAAACCTAAAATGTTAATAAAAGAAACTATGGTAAATATTGAAAAGTCTTGAAAATGGTAAAGCAGGTGCATGACTTAGCAGTGAAGGAGTCAAGAATCTAGTTATCTAGAGGAATAGAGACAAATGTAGGAATGCTGTACAGTACCATGAAACAATGTACTACCCTGTATAGGGTACTACATTTTCAGCCTAGAAGATGACAAGAGTAGGAACCCAGTTAGAAAAATGGAAATAGATTTAGTCGTTTTGATTGAAGACTAGACTCAAAAGTTGGTACCACTAAGTTCTGCAATCATTTGTTTATGGTAGTCTTTTCTGGGAACACAACCTTCAGCATGAATGAGAGCAACCTGTACTGTATCTGCCTTTAAGTTTCAAGCCTTCATATTCTTGCAGTGTCCACAATCAAAAGCTGCCTCGGCATAATTACTGTATTATTTTACTAACTTTGCAATATACTTAGCTTTCTCCAATGGAAATTTTCTGCTCTTATTATTATAATTATTTAATTTATTTATTTATTTTTTTATTTTGTCTTGCTCTAGTACATTAGAGAGCAAGAATAAAGCAAAAATTTTTTAGGAGAAGTTACCAAATAGAGACTAATAAATACAGTACTGTACAGTGTTTGGAGAATGATCTGTAAGTACAGTATGAGAACAGTAATAATTTACCCTTTTGTAAAAATTATGTATTTTTAATTGGACTTTACATAATAAGAAATCACTGTCAGAAAAGATTGTGGATAGATATTTTGTTAGGGCAGGGGTGGGCAATTATTTTTGATGGAGGGCCACTTCATGAATGGTGGCACACTTCGCGGGCCACAGGTTAACAGCGACGAGCCAGTATTGCTGCTATGTCCACCCAACTTCCAAAATTGTCCTTTCTGTAATTAATAAGAATTTTTTTTCTGATTGCCAAATGCAATGGCGGGCCACAGAAATAATTTGGCGGGCCAAATGTGGCCCGCGGGCCGCACTTTGCCCACCCGTGTTAGGGCATTGTTCCACTTATTTTAGGCTTGATGGAATGAGTTGAGACTGCCACTGAGAATCACTGCCAAGATTACTGTAGTGTTGCTTAGGCCTAGTCCAGTGTCACAGTCTCAGATGTTGCTGCCCAAACTCACAGTGGTGTTATATCCACAGGTTTTCCTACTGTCACTATGTTTCATTTGGCTAAGAATTAACACTGTTCAATATATTTATCTCATGTCATGTAGTGGGGACCTGGTAGTACTTTCTCTCTATCCATTTTTGTGTGGATTTATACTGTACATTCATTTCTGATCATAATGTCTCTTGAAAAATAATTTGAATCCTTGGCACAGTACAATCTAATTTGGGCCTGTTGGATGACTGGTAATTAAAATGTTCACTTCTTACCTTAGAGAATTATGGCATATGGTGTAAAGTTATTTTAGGAGTTGGGCCATGATAAGCCTTAGTGGAATCTCAGGTGCATAATAAATGACGGGACAGGTGCAGGTAAGATTGGTCTGCTTCACAATCTAAATATTTACTCAGAAATTGAGCAAAGAACTGTAATTATCAAGTCTGTTTGGGAACTAGTTTCTGGTAGTCTTCTCATTGGATGTTCTCTATTCACAATTTGAGTTCATTTATTTATTTTTTTTTGTTAGGAGTACTTTTGAATCCCTCCCTCCGCCCCCACAATACTGTGTGTGTATACAGTATATATATATATATATATATATATATATATATATATATATATATATGTGTGTGTGTGTGTGTGTGTGTGTGTGTGTGTGTGTGTGTGTGTGTGTGTGTGTGTGTGTGTGTGTGTGTGTGCATGCGTGCGTGCGTTGTGTATGATGTAACTAACTGGCGGTCAATTGAACCCACGGAGGCCCGCGTAAAGCGGGAAACGCTTAAACTGAACAACAGAACATATGGGATTAATTGAAATGGCTGATTGGCGCACCAGAAACTAGTTCCCTGTACTGCAATTATGTTAAATACGGCGTAAGTGTTAAAATGACTAAAAATTTTAATATAAAACTTGAAAAATTATTGATTAGTACAACCTTCTTGATATTTACTCCAATTTTAACGAATGTAATCCCTAGAACCGATTTCAGTATTGGCGGACTAATCTCCCAGCTGGTGAGCAAGCCAAAGCATGTCGAAACATTTTCGTAAAAATTTCGTTAACCGAATTTTTGTTCGTTAACCGAAATGAAGATTCTAATGGAAGGTAATTCGTTAACCGAGGCGTTCGTTAACCGAGGGACCACTGTATTGTGAGAATGAGATCACAAAGTGGCTAAAAGAGTTACTTCAAAAGTGAATGGTAGGGATGGAATGAAGGATGTACCCAAGTTAAATATTTTTGTTGGTGAAAAAAATTTCAGTTATGTTAATGTTACAGAGACCGCATTGTGATGTTGAACTCATACTTCGACTGCATGGAGTTCTTGCCTTGCCGATTATCCTTTGGAGGGATGGATCCAGACATTGAGAAAATAAATGATGATAAATTAACAGGCATTTACAAAGTCATAAAGTAAGTTATCAATCCTTTTACAGTATTTCTCTACCTTTTATCTTTATCTCCAGTACCTCAGACCATCAGAAAACTCTCATGTGGGAGGGCCTCCAGGACTCCTCAATATGTGTTTCTTTTGTCTTTTTTATTCCATATGCAGTACTCCCTCTACCTTCTCCCTTATGATATATGTTGTCTCCTTATGCCATACACATCTGTTATATAACTTCAGTATAACCTCTTGTCATCTTAACCTCAGGCTTTCTCCACATATTTCCTCACCTTATCAGACCACCTTTTTTGGGCTATTCCACTGTTCATAATTCACATCCTCAGTCCTCTCAACCATTCTGAAACCCCAACCAGTTTAATTCCCATGCCTTCCATTCTGTTAATGCTAGTTTCAGCCCACAGGTAATTTATTTCTATGACTTGAAAATTTTAATAATCTTTTATATTCTTTTGACATATAATTTGCATAAATTTCTATCATATGGGTTTTCTGGAGCTCTTTTTTTTTATCTGTATGGAGAACTCATTATGTTTTTCATATTGGGGCTCATATGTGTGTGTCAACTACAAAGTGGAAGTGATGTGGTGGCTCATATATAATAACATTGCTGTTTAGAAATCATGCAGTGCCGTGGCACAATCTAGGACAAAAGTAATGTCCCCCAACCTGCTGCAACCAACCATCCTATGTGGCATTACCAAACTTCTTTAGCCCTCTCGTGCATGCAAGTTCAGATGATTTTTTTAAAGATATTTATATGTGGATAATAATTAACATAACTAATACTGTAAAAATATCATTGAGTACCAGGAAAATCGAGTTTACTTACTTAGAAATATGGCTCCATTTTCTCCTGCAAGAGGTTCAAGAATTCGGTAGTATCACTGTCTGCACATTAAAAACACTGTAGCCTTATGGAATTTTGTCCGCTGATCTACCACTCTCTTTGGAGGCACTTTGTGAATTTATTGATCATCATTTATTAAACATTTATTGTCCTCTTACTATTCTTTTAATCTTGCATTGTCAAGTGAATTTTCATAATGATTATTTCTTCAGATAATCTGGGTTTCTGAGACTTACATAGTATTGATTTCCAGATGTTTAAGGTTCTACTGTATTTTATAGTACTGTATGTGCAAGAAACCTCTAAATTATCTCACTGTTCCTCCTCAGGGCTCCACAGCCAGAGACAGGCACCCAAATGGATACTGATGTGGCTGCAGAGGAAATGGCCACAGTGTTTTATCAAAGCAGTAAAAGGAAAAGTGACCATCTTGATGACTATGACACAGGCACCAAGAGAGATCTTGAAGATGATGCAAGTGAAAGGAGTTATGTCAAAGGTTGCAAATATAAAAGAGAGGGGGATGATCAATTCCAACAAATAAGAGTAGGTGGAGACAGTGATCGAGGTAATGGCAGCAACCATGACAGGGGGAGTTTTAGTGACCGAGGCAGAGGCCAAAGAAGAGCAAACTTTAGAGGGGATGGCCGAGGCCGAAATCAAGGAAGGGGAAACTTTAGGGGGAAGGACCGAGGCCGAAGTCAAGGAAGAGGAAACTTCAGAGGGAATGACCGAGGCCAAAGTCAAGGAAGAGGAAACTTCAGAGGGAATGACCGAGGCCAAAGTCAAGGAAGGGGAAACTTTAGGGGGAATGACAAAGACCGAAATCAAGGAAGAGGAAACTTTAGGGGGAATAACCCAGGCAAAGGCAGCAACCATAGACAGGATATGGGCATTTTCACGGGTGATAACATGGACAATATCCAGGACACTCACAACGACAGAACAAACACGCATAAGAAAATGAAGTGGAAGAAACCATCAGAATAATTGTTGGAAGTCCAACTTAATGCAAATTATTTCTGCTGTTACATTTGGAAGTACTGTACCAATAAACTTTTTCAGGTTTAGTGGTACAAAAATTTTAATATTATTTACCTCTGGTTGCCAGATATTTGTTACAGCTGTTCCTGGAAGCAAATTTGCCATACATTATTTCTCTTGATTTTGTTGAAGAGTACATGAGTATTTCTTTTAAAGCAAAGGATTAAGCGTCATTATAAATTGAGAGTTCATTTTACTTACAACATTATTACACAAGAGAAAGGACAAAACGTCCATGTATTACTGTAAAACTAAAACAGTGTAAAAATCTGTTTCGGCTATTACAAATTCTCTTCTTGGCTGCCAGTCTGATAAATAAAACATTCAAACAATGTTACTTCAGAAGTGGAGGATTAATCCTGAAATCCCTCTTCTTGTGCAGCTTGTATTTAGATGGCTATTGGAATACAGGTACTCCCCGACTTACGACAGGCTTAGGGACTGACATCCAGGTCGTAAGTCGGAAATGCTTAAATAACGCATAGAAAATAAAAAATTTGGTTCTCTTTATCTTCTTAGCACCACAAAACACTCACTTTTAAGCTTGCCAGCCATTTTAAAGTGAATTACAGATGAAAATTTTGTCTGTGTACTGACTTTGGGACTCAAAAATACATAATTTGACCACATTTTGGTACAACTGAGGCGGTCGTAAGTGCGGGTGGACGTAAGTCGAGTCCGTCGTAAGTCGGGGACTACCTGTACTGTGCTACATTCTGGGGGTTATCAGTACTGTAATTGGATATACTCCTTGATATTACCCAGGGTTGATTTATTAATTGTTTAGAAGTACAGTTGTGGACAAAATTCTATGGACACATGGCAGTATCTGGCATGTAAATACTTGAGGATCATTAGGTGACAGGAATTGGAATTTTAGTATATTTTTTTCTTCATATTTTTCTTTGTATTAATGAATGCTAGCCTAGGATCTAAAAGATTTGTAAACAAAGTCAACAAACCTTATGAAACAACAGATACAATGTATAAGAATAGTTGTCTTAATTAGTTGATAACACCAAGGATAGCTTTAGTCCTGCCACTAGTCCCTGACATAACACAATAGGGACATGACATTTAGCCAATCAGACGTCTACACTCAGTGGTATGTGATAAGTAACTGAATTAGAAAGGTTGGAATGACCTGAACTCAAGATCATACAGTACTGTACTCAGTTTTTCTCGGCTTGTTTGTTGGTGATTGGTTAGACTCAGATTTAACCCTTTGTCTCCCAGAGGTTTCCCTAAGCTTGTTAATCTCGTCTCAGTAGTCATAATAAAATTATAATATGCGACAATCAGGGGGAAAGGGTTACTGAAACCTAATTCCTAAAGGGCAACTGTTGTATCAAATCTCCTTCATTTGAGATCAACTGTATGGTATGAAGGGGGATAGTGATTTGTATGTTCAAATGAATTAATAAAGGAATCCTTGCAAACACTATGGAAGGATATCTGAATATAGTACAGTATTGGAAATCCTCCAAAAAGAGTCGCTGCTGTGAGGGCAATAGCCAGGAATCAAGTTTATTTAGATATGAAGAGGTTGTACCGAGGAAAAAAATGAAAGAATTTTGAATTCACAAATGTTGTTTGCACTTCAATGAAATAGTTTTTTTGTGATAATATTAGAATGAGTAGTACAGTATTAAATTTTTAGTCATTTACCTGGTTTGCCAATAAAAGAAGTACAGTTCAAACTGGGATGTACCAGATATTTAGCAACTACTGTATCTGGTACAGTACTGAATCTGGTTCAAATTTCATCCATGTAGCATCTTGGTGATCATAATTTCTGTATCATCAAAGTAACAGCCAGTATAATGCATTTTCAGGTGATGTGAATTTCTTAAGACGTGGTATGAATATCCTACCAGACCCCAGGTGATGTGGTGGTTTGGCCCACATAGTTGCAGTTTGACAAATCAAACTAAAACTAAACATAGCCGAAATGTGTTTAAACCTGGCGAGTTATGGTTCAGTTACCTGTGGACTTGAGTGGTTGTTTTTTGTTCCTACTGATATTAATAACTAATTTTTTCCCATTGCATTCATTTGTTTTTATTTAAAATTATGCCAAAAATATGGTAATGTTAGTGTGAAGAAGAGTATTAAGCACTTAGTAATGACCTTAGTCCAAGAGAAATTTTAGATAAACTGAAATCATGGTAAGGAAGCAGGGATTGGGCTTGAATAAGTTAGTAATTTATACCATACAAAAAATTTGAGACTCAATAAGAGTCAGTGTAATTGTAGCAGCTTCTATAGGTGACAAAATAAAAGGAATGGCTAAGCAAAATTTACACTTAATCAGAGTAGCAAAAATATTTAATGTACAAGTTTAAGGTTGTAAACCAAATTCAGAAACATATCACTGAGCAGATCAGCTGTACTTTACAAGGCATTGGACCTTTATTGTACATTACCATCTGCTAACATTCCTTAAAGTGCAAATAGTGAAGAATGGTTTGTTAGGAATTAGACTGTTACAACTTTCGCCCTGTAAAATTAGTAAGGGGGGAATCCACTCCAGCACATCACTTTGCAAAAGATAATTGCCCGGTACTCACCAAATTTTTCTTTTATTCTCTTCGCCAGCGATCGTCTCATTAGTCGCTTGGCTGGTCAGTCACATTTCTGTTATGCACTGTTGGCAAGTACTGGGCATGTACTGTCTCCAGAATGTACCTGTACCTGCGCCAGCGTTGGTCAAGTCTGGTCTTGAAAAAACTCACACTTGGTGCCGTCACAACACTCTAGCAGATTTTTCCTAGAGTTTACAGTTTTCACGTGAAAAAGTTTGCCCTAACAATTTTATGGACTTGTGGCTTCTTCAACCTTGAGTTGTGACACTTGAGATATTTACAAACATCAATTAAGTTACCCCTTGCCGGGCTATAGTATAAGCTAGGTACTGTAGTTACAGGCGTTATAATCTCTGGGTAATTGAGGAACCGTAGCTCATAGTGCAAGCACCAGTCTGGTGGCCCTTCTTTAGACATTTTTGATCAACTGACAGCTTCTAGCATATCTCAGAGACCAGACTGGGTAACAGACTGACACTACTCCAGACGGGTAAGCACCTCACTTTTGAAGAGTGTTATGAAGGACTTTCTAATTATCTGAATGTCCTTGCTTATAAGACCTACCAGCTTAGTTGCTTGATTCACCTTCTTACAATGGCCTGAGAGCTTCAGTTCACTGTCAACATACACACCCAGGTTCTTTTACATTCAGTCTCTATCAATACTGTTTCTACATCCCATTGGGTCATGTGATATGCCTCCTTACCGTCAATACAACCTAGGTGCATCTTTTACACTTCATGACATTGAATCTTAACAGCCATTTCTTTGACCACTCTTGAAGCTGATAGAAATCTTTCTGTAGCTCTTCACAGTCTATTTGGTTCTTAATTTCCCTGAATAATTTGGCATTTTCCACAAACATTTTTATGAATAAGTGTACAGCTTCTGGCATGTCATTTCTGAAATAAACAAACATCAATGGGTCTAGTGCTGTAATCACCCTTAAGGCAATCATGCAATCACAGGATAAGGAGACCCAGCACATGGACACAAAGAATATAATTCGGTCAAAACCTGGTAACAACAATTATTACACGCAAGTAAACATCATTTTGGTATCACAATAATACAACTCCAGTAGGATATTGTCAACAACAATTATTACACGTAAGCAAACAACATTTTGATATCACACTAATACAATGGTGGGATCTCATGTATGCACTAATGTTCCGTAAACAGACTTACGTGTTAGGGTCTAAAGGAGAGATAGGCGCGTTCCCTGTATGGATCCAAAGCGTTTACTGACCCTCACAGCAAAGGAAACCACTGAGGCACCAGGCGCCGTCTTGTTCTTATTAACAGATCAGCAAATTCCAGCAACTCCTTTCTGTAAACACATGCCAAGCACCTCTACTCGCTACCTTCACCACTCAGTAACCGCTGAAACTTAAATATCTCCTGGTTCTTCTCAAGGGCGGTAACAAGTACGCTACCCTGTGGTACCCCTCTTGTCACGGGTACGCATGATGATTTCGTGCAAATTTCAGAAATTCTTCTGCTGTTTGGGGGATTTCTTTGTCAGGTAACTCCTTATTCCAATTAATGTGCAGTGATGTCATAAGTGTATATTCTTGAATATACTGTACATGATTTCTGATTGCAAATATCATCTTTGTATATCTAACACAAGCTTTTCAACTTTGTTTGAGTGTTATGTGACTTAAACTGTGATGACGAAAGACAGCTAACATTTACCACTGTTTCATGGAAACTGTTGAAGCATACATAAAACATTAAGTACAGTACTGTACAGTACCCTGAAAAAGATATTTACTTTGAAACATTTCTTGGTCAATTTATTGTAGAGGACATAATTATATATTGTTTATTTTTTTTGTTTCTAATGATAAGTTCAGACAAAGCTAATCAATTTTCATCTATGACACATGCCCCTTAAGGAGACAAAAAAAAACATGACTGGACACTAGTGTAGATCAGACTAGTTTCTCATATATAAAAGTGCTAAGTAGGTAAATTTTTAATAATATATAAATTATGAAATATTCCTTAATTGGCAAGTGACAGGACTGTGATGTGTATGTGTGTTGAGTGTACCTTCCCAAAGAGAAAAGTGAGGCCAAATGTAAGATAGTACATAAATTAGAAAAAAAAAAATTGCCGAGAATAATGATAGCGATAATCCTTAATCCAAAAATTGCTAAATATTATGAGGTGCACCTAATCCCATACAATTTATTACCTAACATTATTGGATGACTCCCATTGACTCCAGAGAAAACCTCTGAAATTACCATCATTGACATACACATGTAACATGTGTATGTTAAAAACAGCTCATGTATGTGTGTGTGTGTGTGCATGTTGGAAGAGGCACCTTATGTCTGTATGGGAAGTGACATTTTGTGCGTGGGGTCGGGGGAAAGGGAAGAGGCAGCTTTTGTTTAATTTACCGAATGGTTACCATGTCGGAGAAC